TGATAGGTAGTCTACAGTTTCGCCTAGTCTTTCTAGTAGTATTAGTACTAGTCTTGTATTTTTCTATTCTTAGCCCCTTGCTATTACACGTTGTGTCATTATTTTCAATAGGACTGGCTTTATTCTTGTAGTGTCGTATTCTTAGATCTTTGTTATTGCACGTTGCACCATCTGCTTCCGTGTCTTAATATCTTGTTGTTGGTATTGTCTGTTTATTGCTTCATTTTCACTGTTCTTGAGCCGAGGGTCTTTCGAAAGTAGTCTCTCTACCGAAATTAGGTAGGTGTAAGATCTACCTACACTTTACCTTCCCCAGACCTCACTTATGGGATTTCACTAGGTTTGTTATTGTTGTATTTGGAGATATTACAGCATGTACAAACTTGATAAACATTAAATCTTTTAGATTAGATGTTAAAAACGTAAGTTAATATATTGCATACCGAAGTTTTTTTTTTAAAAAAAGAATCGAAAAGAAAAGCAGAGTATGTAAACCCAGGCAACAAGTCAGAGACCTTTTTTGGAATATCAAGTTTCTTATAAAGATCCCGCATATTTAAGAACAATTTTCACGAAAGTGGTTTGAATAAAATAAGAAAGGAAACAAGTTCAACATGATGTTGCAAAAAGTATTAACACGAGTGCAAAAACATAGTACGGTGTATAGATTAGTAACTTATAAAAGAGAACATAGTACGGTGTATAGATTAGTAACTTATAAAAGAGAACATATAACTTGTTGGAGTAATACACTTATGTTATGTATTTGACGAAAAAATTAAAATTCAAATCCTTCTATGGAAAATAGAATTTCTGCCTCACACAAGGTAAGGGTAAGAAGTATTAGATGAGAATTGTTCATTAACTTAGAAATGTATATGTACATAAAAAAACCTAACTGGCGGAGAGACCATAGGTTCACGTGCCCCATATATTATGCTATAACGGTGTATTTGGTACGGAAGAAAATATTTTTTTATCGATTTTTCAATGTTTGGTTGGCTTAAATATATTGAAAAATATTTTTCTCATAAACTTCTTTTCCTCCAATCGGAAGAAAATATTTTTCCTACCAAGAGGAGGAAAAATATTTTCCAAAACTCTCTTTCAACGTTAATCCTATTCACCATCCCTCCAACCTCTACCCACCACCCACCCCAGCCCTAACCCACCCACCCTCAAACCCGCCCATGCCCCTCACCCGTCCCCACCCCCACCACTCTACCCCCCCCCCCCCCACTCCTCCATCCCCACCCCATAGTGTTTGCTTAAATTATATATTTTTCACAAAAAAAAAAAAAAATTTCTATTCACTAACCAAACACTGTTCCGGAAAAAAAATTTCACTCACCAATCGAAAAATAAGTGATAAAATTATTCATTTTCAAAGAAAATATTTCTTTCATATACCCTAAATACGCCCCTGCTCCGCACTCAGTTGAATCCTTATCATCTGTCCTAGATTTGCCTCCAGCGGCACATGGAAGTTGAGATTCATCCTGTACAGAAGAAATAGCCTTGGCCGTTGAGGTCAATTTAGGGGTTCAATTATATACACCTCCACTCTTCAATGATATTTCAATTTAGGTTCTTGCCGATCGTACGCTCTATTTTGGGAAAGGTGGTTGAATCGTGTCATAACGAGCATAGGCTGGTATGAAAGCATGCACTTTATCGTGATAAGTCTGGCCTTAAAACAGCAAAAGAAGATAGTCGAGCACATCAATATATTTGGCCCCTTGATCTTCTTTTCCACACATGGCATGCTTTTTACTAATCATTATATATTTCCTTTCTAACACATGGCTTATGACTCCATTAACAACCTTCTGTAAATGCTTATCTCTTTGTTATAATTAACAAATAAAGTCGCGTGCTTTGTTTTTACTCCTCGTTTCATGTTTGTTGTACGTTGCTGCTTAGCTATATATAAAATAATCAATTCACTAGACATGTGAGTGCAGTTCATATATCAACTTCGCTTATAAAAATAATAATGATGTTATTGTTTGTCTTTCGTTTTTTCAATTTAACGATAAAAAGTTGGGAGTAGCAAATGAGCAATTTGGATTAAATTTAAACGGGCAAAAATAAGTTAAATCGTAATGTGTTGGATCATAGGTTGTGTACTTTGCTTGGCCAAGTGGATAGGTTAATTTGGGCTGATGATCATAATCCAACCTGCTCAACTCAAAATTATTTTTTATTTATTTAATTTGTTCTTTGTTTAGTGACACATCAAACTAACAATTTTATTTTTCTTTTATTTACGGTGACTAGTTCTATTTAACCAACCAAACTCAAAAATATTATTTTCTATGTATTGATAAATTAATTTTCTTACGAGTAAATTTGGGTTATTTAGACCGTCCAAATTATTGGCCCAAACTTTTAGATGAGCTAACTTTGGTTATGACCAAATTGACCCGTACGTAAATGAATATCTGTCCAGCTCAATCCATCCAAACCTGCATGAATTGGCCAAATTTGATTTCATTTGTTGAAATTTGACACTTGTAGTAGTTATGCATGCATGTTCCTTGCATACGAAATTTATATTGAAGAGAAAATTTACGTAATTTTGTGCGGAAAGAATTACAAGAAAATATACATGACTTCATATCATAACAAAAAATGGCCCATATTTTTAAGTTTTATCATACCTAGCCCACATTGTACATATTTTAAAAGCACTAGCAAATTCAAAATTTGTGTTCTTACAACCATTGCTTCTAAAAGCAATGGAGTTAAATATGTGTTCTCACAACTATTGCTTTCACTCTCTCTTCTTCTCACATCTTCTACATATGCTTCAAGGGGTCGTGTATTATCTGCTTCTCCTCTTGTGTCGCCTGGTTGGAATGTAAGAAAATTGAAGAGTAGAAGTCCACCATTGAAGACCATTCAAAGCTTTGCTTTTGAAAGTGGATTTTTTTGAATTTGTTAGTTGTTTGGATTGGGTGTTGTTCCAACTGATTGAAAATATCAAAAGGAGTTCAAAATTTAAAGTTAAAGTGATTTGGAGTAGATTTGAGCAAGATTTGACTTAAATTTTAGAAAAGACACAAGGAAGAAACGAAGTCAGTTTTTTGTATAATTATGTATAATAGTGTATATGAGTGTATAAACACACCTTATTCACTATTATACACTTTTATACACCTTTATACACGCGTTTGTAGACGAAGTTCTTCCACGATTTTCAGCTGCAATTCTTGTTCAAAACCAGTCCAAATCTCCATTAAATGACTTCAAATTTTATATACAACCTCCTTATACTATTTCTAACAAGTCTAAATAACACCCACTCCAAATTTCTCATAAAATCAAATTCGAAATTTAAACCCACATATTTAAACTTGTTACAAATCTAATTTTCACCACCCAAATGAATTTGGTTTGTTGAACTAATATTTGAGTCACAGTTACTGATTCGAAAATTAAATTAAAAGCTTGAGGAATCTTTTTTAAAAATTAAATACTAATTTTGAGAATCTATTGGAGTTGGATGTTAAATCTTAGCCTATTTTTTTGGACTAGTTGGTTGTAAATTAAAATATGGGCTATAAAATTGAAAAATAGAGAGCTCAATTATTCTATTGTGAAATTTTCCCTTTTGTGTGGGCACACTGGGATATTAATGAAAGGGATAATTAGGTTGTAAGAAGTGGACACAGATAGCAGACGCCAATGCCACGACAATCTCCTTATCTTCTCATACCATCTTTTAAATTCCATCTTCCATTTCTCATCTTCCCCTTCTAAAGTAACTTCTTTTTTGATTGAACTAATATGCATGTCACAATCCCTTGTTGTTTCCCAAATTACCAAAACACCACACAAACCACTCAGTTTTTGCATGTCAACGTTCATATGAAGATCATTCATTCAAAATAATACGTATACATTATTGTGACAAATTCGAATTTGGGGTTAACATCTTTCAAAATTATATCTTTTAAAAGATTTCAGAGATCTTATAAAAGTATATATGATGAGGAAGATAATATCCAAACGAGATGATTTCTCCTCCTTCCATTATGCATCAGAAAAACACCAAAAAAAATAAAAAGTTGAATACAAGAAGAAAGTTTGGTCCCTCGCAAGTTCTTATCAACTTTAGATAGTAGGGGAAATTAACAAATGACGGTGAAATGATGCAATATCCCAAAGAAGGAAAATTCCAAGAAAACAATTGCGAGATCACATAAACAACGGAAAAAGTAAAAGTACTCATAGAATACATAGATATCTGCAGAATCTAAAATCTCACACTAAAAGTGGTAAATTTAGGTGCAAAAACCCAACTATGCAGAATACAGATGCTTACAGCAGGCACATCTTCATTCTTTCATTTGGAATTCTCATCCTTTTCGTGGTTGCTCTTCATTTAATATTTTCTAAATTCTAGGGAAAGAGGTAGTCTTTGTAATATAACAGAATCTCAAAATTTTCTTCTTCGAGCAAAGAGGAGTTTACTAGCTTCCGATTATTACCAGAAAGTTTTTAACTTTTCTTGATTGTGAGGCTCTACACTTGTATACTATTAATTTGCTAATCATGATGAACATATAGTTATAGTACTTGGACACAAAGGTGCGTCTCAATGATTTAGTGTTAATAAGTTCAATTTGTTATAGAGACGGAGCCATGATTTAAAACTTATGAGTTTTAAATTCTAATTCTTTTAAATTATTTGGATCTAAAATAATAGTAATTTGTACATATTCAATAATTTTTTAAAATAAATCTTGAGTTTAAACCAAAACTTATATTGGGTTCGGTCGAACCATATCGACACTCTAATTCAGCTACCCTTTGTCATGTGTGGCTGCAATTTATTGCACACGCATAAAATCCACTTTTGCTAGAACCTTCTTGTTAGAACCGAGTTTGAAGATGAGCTTGAAGCTCGATCTGGAGCTTCAATGGAGTCCTTCTAGAGAGTTCTGTGAGAGGGAAATTGTAAGAGAGAAAATAGGAATTGGGAAAGTGAAAGCTCACCTTCTTTTCTCACTGCAGTACAAAGTATATACACGTGCAAACACTACCAACTTGCCCAATATCGCTGAATTCTTAACTCTTGTTAGAGCCTTGGTGAGAACATCAGCCAGCTGATTGTCTGTTGCCACATGGTGGAGTGAATTCAGCCCTTCTTGCAGCTTGCTTCTGACAAAATGACAGTCCACTTCTATGTGTTTAGTCCGCTCATGAAATACATGGTTTCTTGCTATGTGTAGAGATGATTTGCTATCACAAAAGACTTCTACAGGTTTAGCAAAGGGTACAGTAAGTTCTTCAAGTAATCTGCACAGCCACACCAACTCCTCTACTACTTTTCTGAGTGCCCTGTATTCTGCCTCTGCTGATGACAGTGAAATGGTCTCCTGTTTCTTGGATTTCCAGCATACATGACTGTTTCCTAATAGAATTATATATCCACTCACTGACTTCCTTGAGTCTGGGCAGGCAGCCCAATCAGAGTCACAATAAGCTTTAATATTACAGTTTGGATCATGTGACATGAAGATCCCCATGGTGGGATCACCCTTCAAGTATCCGAGCAAGTGAAAAGCTGATTTCAAGTGGGGTTCTCTTGGATCTTGCGTGAATTGGCTAAGATGTTGTACGCTATAGGCTATGTCCATCCTTGTGTAGGTGAGAAAGTTCAACTTTCCAACTAGTTTTCTGTAATAGGTAGGATCAGTTAATGTAGTGCCCACTTTAGCTTTCAAATTCACTGTTGGATCTAGTGGTGAGGGAAGGATACTATAATCCATACAGTTCTACTCCTTTAGCAGATCAAGCACAAACTTTCTTTGTGAGATTATAACTCCATCAGCTTTATATAGTATCTCCAGCCCCAAAAAATAATGCAGTTTACCCAAGTCTTTGATCTTGAAGCTGTCATGTAGGAATGCTTTCAGCTCTTCTATCTCCTTTTTGTTTGTTCCTGTCAGGATCACATCATCTACATATACTGCCACATATAATGTTGACTCATATATCTTCTTGTAGAAAAGTGAATAATCATACATAGAATGGGTGTATCCTTAACAACACAGTGCTTCACTCAATTTGGCATACCACTGTCTACTTGCTTGCTTAAGGCCATACAAGGACTTCTTGAGCTTACATATCAGATTTCCACTATCTACTACTAAGCCTTGTGGCACTTTCATATATACCTCTTCATGGAGGTCACCATGAAGGAAGGTATTATTCACATCTAACCGGAATATGTCCCAGTATTTCTTGACTGCAGCAGCTACGAGAGCTCTTACTATTGTGATTTTCACCACAGGACTGAATGTTTTTGTTTAATCAATTCCAGCTTGCTGGGTATAGCCCTTTACCACCAACCTAGCCTTGAACCTCTCTATGCTACCATCTGCCTTATGTTTCACTTTATACACCCACTTATACCCTATGACTTGTTTCCCAACTGGTAATGGTACTAGCTCCCAGGTGTTATTGGCATGCAATGCTTCAAACTCTTGCATCATGGTTGCTTTCCAGGCAGGATTCACAGCTGCTTCCTCATATGAATTAGTCTCCTTATCACTGCAAATACTTCTCCCAAGGCACTGACTATCCTGGTTCAGATCCTCAGCAGATATGTGATTGTGGGGAGAAGATAAGGCATGAAGAGAAAATGGTGCATTGGTTTGGTTATTGGCATTGTGCTCACTGGTATTTGGTTTCAGCCGGTGTAATTTAAGGACATAATCCCATAAGTATGAGGGAACTTTGTGTTTTCTATGAGATTTTCTTGGTTGCAAAACATGCTTAGGTGAGGTATTCTTTAAAGATCTTATTGGTGAATTATTTTGTGAGTTTTCTGGAACAAGTAAATCTACATTATTGGGAGAATGTGGTGAAGGAGATGGGTCAGATGACAAATCTGGATGTGTGACATTTGAAACCCCTTGATCATTTGGCTCACTAGTTTGGGTCTGCTTATTGTCACTAGACACATGATCAATAAAATGAATAGAGTTGAGAATAGAGGGAACAAAAACAGTATCCTTAGACATACTAAAAAGAAAGATATTTTCATTGAACACTACATCTCTAGATACATGTGTTTTCTTAGTGGTCAGACTGAGTAATTTGTACCCCTTTACCCCGAAAGGATATCCAACAAAGACACGTGGTGTGGTTCTAGGTTCAAATGTATCTCTGTGGACCTTGGGTACTGTAGGATAGCACAAGCAACCAAAACTCCTCATATGAGAGTAAGTAGGTTTTCTGTTGTATAGTAGTTCATATGGTGACTTGCCCTTGAAATGAGAAGAGGGCAGTCTATTTATTATATAAGTTGCACATAGGATGCATTCACCCCAATATCTTAGAGGCAATTTTGACTGAAATAAAAGAGCTCTAGCAGTTTCTAACAAGTATCTATGCTTTCTTTCCATTATGCCATTTTGTTGTGGTGTATAAGGACATGCCTTTTGGTGGATGATCCCTTTAGAAAGAAAAACTGATTTGCTTCTGTGTTGTTAAACTCTAGACCATTGTATGACCTTATAGATTGGATAATGGTGTTAAATTGATTTTTATCATTGATACAAAGTTCATGATGACATGCATGGCATTACTTTTGCTGGTTAATAGGTGGGTCCAAGTGGACCTACTATAATCATCCACCATGGTAATGAAATATCTGAAGTTTTCATGACTTGGCATGTGGTAAGGGCCCCAGAGATCAACATAAAGTAGTTGAAAAATTTTGGTGAAATTAGTGGATTTTTTTTGAAATGCCAATCTCCCCTATCTTGCCATTGGGCAGACAGAGCAAGTAAAGGGTTGTTTTTGTGAGAAAGATGCTGGAATACTGGACATTTCCTTCATCTTGGCAAAGGGTACATGACCCAGTCTATTATGCCACAACACATTTATATCATCACTTGAAGAGATAGAAGGACTGATGCTATTCACAATGGGGAATTGCACTTTATTATTTGGAGAACATGTAGTTACAACTGAATGAGATGTGCAATTATCCCCAGACAATGAGCTATTTACGGTGGAATGATGAAAATAGTGTAAGTTGTGTGTGCAACAAGTGGAAGAAATAGAACTAGCAATTGAACTATTTACTGTTGATTCTGAATGGTTGTTCCTGAGACACCTAGGGTAGAGAAGATATAGGCCATCACTGGCGTTACCAATTTCCAGAGGCCTCTTCATTGAAGGGGCCTGCAGAAGACAAATGTTATCAGTAAAGGCAACAATGCAATGAGGGGTTGAACTGGTTAATGAATAAATTGATATGAGGTTATATTTGAAGGAAGGTATATACATGACTTTGTGTAAAATGATCTATGGAAACAATGTCACACTTCCAATTTGTGTTACTTTTACCTTATCTCCGTTTGGAATACTAATAAGGGATATGGTAGGGTTGCAATGTTGGTTAGTAAAGATATATTGAAGGTCATGTGATTAGATGCTCTTGAATCTAATATCCAAGAGTCAGCCTTATTTTTGAAGCATTCACAGGACAATTTGCCAAATCAATAGACGAAGTGCAGACTATTATACCTGCAAAGTTCACATCACCATTGACATAGTTTCTGCAGCTCGAACTCTCTCCTCCTGTTCCCATCTGAAAAGTTGCAGCAGATTCAGGATCTGTCCATATAGTTCCTTAGTAAGGTTGACCTGCCCGACCTCATCTCCATCTTCTGATCCATCCTTTCCAGTTGCATTGCTTCAGAAGAGGTCCCTTGCACACTGGCTACTATTCTTCTTCCTTTGTTGAACCTTGCAGCTTGATTCATGTTCTATCCTGCATTTGAACTTTGAGTGTGTGAATTTCCAAAACTTTGAGGGTACTCGTGTAGTTTGTAGCACTTGTCCTTGGTATTCCCTGGTCTCCTACAGTAGTCACACAATGGTCGAGGCCTATTGCCTCCAGTGGAATTGTTATTGGCAGAGTAATTTGTTATGTAGCAACCAGATTTTAATGTGTTGACATTTAGGGAGGCAGACACAAAAAGCATTTGGTTATTTGGTTTGATCTCCCTTTGCTTCTCATCCTGAATGAGCAGTGAAAAAGCCTGTGCAAGAGTTGGCAGTGGATTCATCATAAGAATGCTTCCACGTACAATAGTGTAGACCTCATTAAGTCCCGTAAGGAACTGTATCAATCTTCTGTCCTGCTCGGTCTTGTGCAGGTTCTCCTTGGCACCATAGGTACAGGTACAACTGCAATGAGTCTTCTTACTCAAAGTATTCAGCTCTTCCCAGAGCTTTTTCAGCTTAGTGTAATAACCTGTAATGTCCAGCACACCTTGAGACAGGTCGTTTATCTCTTTTTGGATCTGGTACAGCCTAGCACCATAGTTTGCTCATAGCGATCCTCCAATTCTCTCCACAAGTCAACAGCATTATCAGCATACTCCACACTGTCAGCAATGTCTCTGGAGAGTGAATTTAGAATCCAAGACGTCACCATATCATCGTATCGCTCCCACTGTCGAAACCTTTAAGATTGAGGATCTGGTGATTTACACTCTCCACTAATAAACCCTAACTTGTTTTTGACGGATAGACCTCGCATGACACTACGTCTCCAAGATCTATATCCAATTCCACTAAAGGAACTGAGACGAGCATTGCTCCAAGATTGTCTGACGGATGTCGATAGAGTGTAGGGGTGTTCAAAATCGATCCGAAACCAAAAACCGAACCGAACCGAAGCTTAATGGCTTACTGGTAACGGCTTAACGGACGGGGAACATATTAAATTTTTTTTATTAACGGCTTATCGGTTTGGGGGCGGATTATTAAATTTTCTTAACGGATTATCCGTTAACCCGTTAAGAATATAAATATATATATATATAATTATTTTTATTTATATATATTAAATATAAAAAACTAAAACCCTTGAGCTTGAATAACAAAAACAAACCCGTCTCTCTCTGTTCTGTCTCTAAAGTCTAACCCATTCCTAATTCCTAATTCCAGAGAAACCCTAACACCTAAACAAGAACCAACAAAGAAGCTTGTACTACTTTCATTATTCTCATTCCTTTTCTTTTCTTGGAGTGTAACAAGAAGATTTTCTTGCAAAGAAGCTTGTACTACTTTCTTTATTCTCATTCCTTTTCATTTCTTGTTGCAGTGACTCATACATGGCTGAAAATACACAAAGTGATAAGGTGATGATGGGTGAAAGTGGGGCTTCTAATTCAAATGCAACAAGTCAAGCTCAAACAATGGAGTCAAATATAACCAAAAAAAGGAGAAAAAGGTCTGTTGTGTGGGATCATTTTAAAGAAATTATTACTTCTGAAGGGAGTACAAAAGCAAAATGTGACTATTGCTTTCTTGAGTATGTATTTAAGACCAAAGACNGATTAATGCTGAGGATTTCATCTTACCTAAAGGCTGGATGATTGAAGTTCGAGTTAGGAAAAATGGAAGTACTTCTGGCCACAAAGATACAGTAATAAATACATTAACAATTTAACATATATCCTCCTTCCTACTTGTTATAAGATTTTCAATTAATTTGCTTTTAGACCCTTAGACATATATCTTAGCTTCTTTTGTATGCAACAATCTGATTTAGAGTTAAATAGGTACACTAATGCGTGACTGGACTTTATTTCTCTTCAATCCCCTAGTAATCTTAGCACTTAATTTGTAAATAAGCTAAAGAGCACACAGGGTCAGGTTATATAGTTTGCTAAAATACATACTCAAGATGTTGGTGACTTTTTGTATGGACAAACAAAGTGCTAGATTTCCTATTCTTACGGAGATGGCTCGTGATGTATTAGCTGTTCCGGTTTCAAGTGTGGCATCCGAATGTGCGTTTAGTCTTGATTCATTTAGGAGTTCATTAACTCCTAAATTGGTGCAAGCTCTAGTGTGTCTTCAAGATTGGCTTCGAAATGAAAAATTAAAATAACCCATTAGTGTTGAGGAAGATCTTGATAAAATCGAGCGGCTTGAACAAGGTAATAATATTGTTACTATATTTGTTGTATATAAGTGTTGTTGATATGCTTATATTTATCGCAAGACTCATTATTTTTTTTCTTCAGATTTAGCCAGCAATGGAAAAGACCCTTCCGTAATTGACGTGTAGTGTTAATATATTTGGTAAAATTATTTATCAGCTACTCTGCCTATTCCCTGTTTTATTTAGAATTAGATGTGCATAGGAACAATGCTGCTCTTTCAAACAATTTGTTCTGTGACTGCCCATTTTAACTACTTATCTATTGCTACGTAGGTGAAGTTTTTTCGCATATATTTGTACATGCTATCATAGTCTGGCTAAATCTGCATATTGACTTCACCAGCATTGCGTGTGAAACCTGCAAATCCTATTGTTACTGTAAGGTCCTACTTTTTGATGAAATTACATGATTATATTTGTCTGCTTTAGATGACTTTCTGATGATCAGCAATGTCTTCTTTGCACACGCTCTTTAATATTATGTTCGTCATCCAAATACAGGCCGTGGCACCAATTTTTTCATTGGTTGCACCTAGGTACCAGTTCAAAGGTTCTCATAAAAAGGGGATTCCTATTTCAAGGGATCCTGCAGCACTGGTGGCCAAGTATTCTGATCCTCTAGTCCTTCATGGAACTGCTGATAGAGTCACTGATCCGTTGGCTTCTCAAGATCTGTACAATGAGGCCGCTTCTGAGTTCAAGGACATTAAACTTTATGATGGGTTCTTGCATGACCTTCTGTTTGAGCCCGAGCGTGAAGAATTTACTCAGGATACCATTGACTGGATGCACAAGAAGTTAGGTGCTGGCAATCTTGCAAATGTGTATAGTTAGTGCTATCTTTGCAAATAGTTAGTGTTTTGATTGATCAAGGGTTTTAAGGGCTGCTATGATATGAGATGAAGCTATACTTACTAGTTTACTATGCTGGATTTGTTTCCCTTTTTCTCTTCTAGTGGTAATGAACCTTTTCTGCTGGATAAACATTTGAGATTTGAATGACTTCAGTAATCAGTAGGGCAGTACCTATTTCTAGTTGAGGATAATTTCGATTTGTGAATATGTATGTTAGGCCGATAAACCGCCCGATAAGAGCTAAACCGATACCAATCCGCCCGATATCTTATCGGGTGGCTAACGGATTAATACATTTAAAAGCCGATAACCGTTAAGCCAAACCGTTAAGAGTAAATAACCGCCCAATCCGACCGATAAGCAGCCCTAGTAGAGTGGATCATTTGGATCTATTCCGGTGCTCGTCGTAACGGCGACACTGGTATCACCAACAGATGTGTCTTCCTGATCTAATATAGCCATGAGTAGACGAATTTGTTGTGTTACACACTAATTTTAGGTGAAACTTGAAGAATCAGTTATCAATTTTGCGATTTGAACGAATTAGGGCAAATGTCAATCGAACTAGAGAGACAGATTCAGAAGAAAGAAAGGAGTGGGCGAAATTGAGAGAGACGATGTCGGATAGTCGAACATGAGCTTCCTTGCTCTGATACCATGTTAGAACTGAGTTTGAAGATGAGTTTGAAGCTCGATCTGGAGCTTCAATGGAGTCCTTCTAGAGAGTTCTGTGTGAGGGAAATTGTAAGAGAGAAAAAAGGAATTGGGAAAGTGAAAACTCACCTTCTTTTCTCACTGCAGTACAAAGTATATACACGTGCAATACTAGAAAATACAACTAATGCTGAGCTGGCTAATTAAGCTGGCCCACTAACAAACTAACTCACTCCACCAACTATACAACTAACTATCATTATATATAAAAATATAATTATGCAAGTCTCAAAGCTTCTGTTTATTGATGTTGTTCCCTTTTTAACATTCTCTCAAATACAAAGAAAGAGGTAACTTTGGGTATATAATGACGGAATCTAGTTCAAAAATCTTGTTCGAGAAAAGAATAGCTTCTGATTATTGTCAGAATTTTCTAACTTTTAGTAGATTTTGGTTTAACATTAATTCCAAACGAATAGTACAAGTTGTCATACACACGCACTCCCGTGCACACATGAAGCAAAATTTGCTGTTTGGTTATTTCCTCCGCCAAAGGTTATGACGCAGCAACGTAATTGTAAATTTTTGTGGAAGAACTAGCAAAGGATGGACGAGTTTGGATTGAGCTTTACCAATTGAATTAATCTATAGGCATAAGTTATGGGTTCATAGAAACCGTGTAACATTTGCTCATCTGTATAGGTATAAGGAAATTCACTAAATATTTAAATATGAACACAGTTATTAACTTGAGGTAGTAGAAATCCATAAACTTCACATCTTGAATCCGTCTCCAGCTTAGGACGACCAGCTGCAGCGCAATTTGGTCATTGAATCTGTATCCGCCCTTGACATACACAACTCGATCCATTGTGTGCATGGGAATGTATACGTCGCCCCTAGGGTTAAGGGTAGAATGGAAATTTGACTAGGGAAAATATCTTAAGGAACTTTGAAAAGTCAGTTTCCAAAAATGGAAGAAGTCACATTATATGATATCGACGAAGGAGTCGTTATAAGGTAGGGGCTCGGGCCGGTGGGTGCGGCAACCATCAGTTCGACAATTTGATATAATTGTTGACAGTAATTTCGCATGGATTTCACGTAATCCCATCTGAGATGTTTTGATCATCCCTATTAGCTCCATTCACATCCATACAAATATATAAGTCCTAAAAATCCAACTGTAATCCTTTTTCCATGCACGTGAATGCATATGTATCCTAACACTTTTCACACCTCTTGGAATCAGAGGCAAATATATATATATATATATAATCTAGTAGTTTGAATCAAAACTACTAGATTATGTCGAATTCGTAACTTCTATTATAGCACCGTATTTCTGGGATGACATCTTTCGTTCTAATAGAGCCCGCCATGACAACATGAGTTGAGAAAAGGTCAAATCTTGTCTATCTTTTATCTGCATGTGTGAAAAAAATTACTTGCAAGTGTTGGATTTGCAGGCGATAAATTGAAGGTAGATCTAAAACTTATAAAGCAATTGGTTTTTATTTGCACATTTCCTCATAATGAGCGTCATTTAAAAGAGAAGATTTTCGATGTGAAATTAGAAAGGAAAAGAAAAAGCAGCCAAGACAAATATCATGAAAGTATTAACAAAGACTTTTGGATTTTGGTCCTAATGAATTGTTTTTTGATGGATATTTCACGTGGTCTGTTCGACTGTTGAAAGGACGTTTACCGTCGACTTTATACTTCGAATATTCTTTTGTTAATTTGCTGCCTCTCTTGCTTCTTTGTTTTAGGAAAGAATGGAGCGAGTCAGCTAGCTATGGTTAGACAGTTAAGCTTTGAATCGAAGTTGTCGTCTAATGATGGAGTATTTATTTGTATTACTTTTGTTTGGAAAGTAGGGGAGCTACGAAGAAGGGAATTTTCTTGCTTTTGTTTGTTTAAAAAGAAGTTAATTTAAAGCTAGCTAGCTGCTATATTTCATGTATACCAGC